CTTCAAAAAGCCGCGGATAGGTGCGCTAAACAGTCCACGTATGTTGATGTCATCTTACAAAACGCAAATTCTCAACCACAAATTAAAGCGTTCTCATCAAGTGGTCCAATCTGAGTGTCAACCAAGTAGAAACAAGTTCAACTTCTTAAATCCATATGTTTCGGAACCCTGTAGGTTTCCACTGAAAGGTTGACATCTTTGCGTAAATATCTCAGCTAAGTGCTGGCCTTCTAAAGATATGCAACAGCTGTCTTCAGGAATCACACTGTAGCTGTATGGATCTTTATTTTTAGGGCAGAAATCCCAACTTGACGGTTTTATGGCCACAGTTTGATACCATGAATGCAGTGAAGTTTGAAAGTAGCGTGATCCATACTACCGGCCTAGCCATTGTTTGCCGAAGAGAGTGCTGTTTTCCATGCTCAACTCGGAGTGGCTTAAGCAGAGATTTGGCCAAACCTTGAATTGTCAGAGGGGTATGAAGGCGCTGTCGGTGCTACTCGCCTTCCAGGATGGAGACCGTGTGATCCTCAATGCGCCTCGTTCGGGACACTACAAGATATGGCTGTCAACCGATGTCAGTGGCGTTTTCAGTTTCTATCTAGATTGCCTGAGTGAATATCTGAAGGTGTAGGCACCTTGGAATGATCGTAGTAAGCTAGCACTAAATCCCTTGCCTGTGCACCTTTATTCTTTTCTTTACAATAAGGTCTTCGAATAAATCATGGTTGTACGGCAGTGAAGCATCGGTGTTGAACACTGATGTCATGCTGTCGATGATGATGACTGCGCTTATGTGCCAGAATGTATAATTGGACGAGAATGTACATGTCTAAGTCACAAAACACTGTACAGTAAGGGGGAAAAGGTTACGACATAAGCAGCAGTAGAAAAACGACTGGATTTGCTGGAATGGTTTACCAAAAGCTGGGCACGTTTTGGAAGATTGGAAGAAGTACAATATAAATTGGATTGATAGTGAAATTTGTGCATGGTGATCTCAAGGCCTTTCAACCAAAGCATATGCATCTTTGGAAATCAGCCACGACCCACTCAACACAGCCCTAGTGACTGCCCATGAGTTCATCCAAACTGACCTTGCGAAATATGCATGGCGGCATGGAAAACAGTCCCTATCTTGTGTGCAGCATTTTGTCTTTTCTTCACGTTGCTGATCGCTGCCTGACATCGATTAACTTGTCAATTACGGTTTATTCACACCCAGAAGCTCTTAAGTTCCCCTAGCCCGAAGAACGACATTCTTCTCAGAGGTTTAGTCTCGATCCTGGTCATCAAAGTGACAAGCGGAATCGCAAATCCCCTAAAGGGGATGGAAAACATTTCGCAGCTACGACTGTCCTACTTCTCAACATGGACTATTTTCCCCGGAATTCGAAATACACAAACACTGTTCAGCATGGTGACTGAATTTCATTTATTTGTAGCGAGCTAAAACGTTCAAAATCCAATTTCACTTCTACTGGTTGTCTCCGACGCGTATTCGTGGTACTGACTAGTGAACCTGACGA